TCCAAAAGAAAAGTGTCTCCAAATGCACACAGCCCGATGAGCCTCTGAAATCTTGACAACAAGCAAATGGATTTTATGAAGTAGTTCCACCTTGGATTTCTGCTTTAGGTAAAATGTTCACACAGTGAAGCATATAAATTACTATGGGACACTTTTGCTTTAAATCAGAAGAAATTCAGATTGTTATAGGAAACTAACAGTTTTCTAGTGCTAATTTAAGGTATTAAAACATATATATATAACACTTTGTGATAATCCAGTGACTCAGGAGTCTGATATCTAGTGTTGGTTGCGGGTGTAACTCAATGGTGGTGAACCTGCCTAGCATGCTCAGGGCTAGGAACAAAGATGAGGGACCAAGAGCAAGGGAATCCCAGGTAAGTCTCATGATTCTCACCACCACCCCCTACCAGGGGTTGAACCCAGAGGCACTTTACCACTGAGCCACATCCCCAGCCTATTTTACTTTTATTTTTTATTTTGAGACAGAATCTCGCTAAGTTGCATAGGTCATCAACTAAGTGCTGAAGCTGGCTTTGAACTTGCGATCCTCCTGTCTCAGCCTCCCAAACTGCTGGGATTTCAGGCATGAGCCACTGTGCCTAGCTAAGTCTCATGATTCTTGATCACATCCTAGGTGTGAATTGGCTTCTCTTGATCCATTTTCCTGTGCCCAGTTGATCAGCAAGTTGGTGGGGGAAGTATCCTGTGCTGCTGCCTCAGGAATGGTCACCACCCTCCTCTCAGACAAACAAGAGCGTGTCTGGGTTTCCTGGAAGCTGAGCAGGTTCATTGCTTCCCAGGGAAGTGTCACTGAGTGCAGAGCCTTATAACAAGTGAATGAGGAGATGGATTTTTTCTTTAGGTAAATTGATCACACATTTAAGGGTATAAGTTATTATGGGACACTTGCTTTCAGACACAGAAGAAATTCAGACCCATGTGGTCCCATTGTCCCAGATGTGGTACACATCTGTAATCCTAGATACTCAGGAGGTTGACACAGGAGGATCTCAAATTTGAGGCCAGGCTTGGCAAGTTAGCAAGCATGACCCTGTCTCAAAAAAATATATGAAAAGGACTGGGGGTGTAGCTCAGTGATAGATTCCCGTTACTGCAACAATACTTACGCATACCAGTATACACTCATTTATAACAGTAATAATTACATATAATTATATAACAGTAATAACAAAGCTATAACATTATTAATATTTAATATAATCTATAAACTCTAGATTATGATTTCCAAACTATTTTAATGCAACTGTGTCAAATTTTTTTGTTGCAATATTCACAGAAATTGAAAACTTGAAACTTAATGGGTTAAAGTAGTTGGCAATGTATAAAGATTTTACACTCAGTACAGTATACTGATGAAGGCCTTGAATTTCCAGCTACTAGACAGGCTGAAGCAGGAGCACCCCTTGAGCCCACAAGCTTGAGACCAGCCTGGGTAACATAATGAGCCCCCATTTCAGAAAACAAAAATGAATTCACACTTGCAGCCTTCTGCCACCCATATCCACATTTTTGCTTATGGCTAGGACCAGAAGACTAGCCCATTAGTCTATTTCTTAATGTGCTTAAAAACTCCATACCCAACTGGGTGTGGTGGCAAACACCTATGATCCCAGCAGCTTGGGAGTCTGAGGTAGGAGGATCCTGAGTTCAAAGCCAGCCTAAGCAAAAACAAGGTGCTATAAGGAACTCAGTGAGACCCTGTCTCTAAATAAAATACAAAAAAAGGGCTGGGGATGTGGCTCAGTGGTTAAGCGCCCCTGGATATACTCCCCAGTACCAAACCAAACCAAACCAAACAAACAAACAAAAACCTTCATACCTAGAAAGCACTTCCCTCTGCCTGTTATTATTATTATTATTTTTTTGTTTGGGTTGTTTTTGCTTTTTTTTTTTTTTTGTGGCCAACTCTCTGGCTCCTGAGTTTGTTATGACCATTCTACTAGAAAGAATAAAGGAAGACTCTCTTGGGATCTTGGCCTAAAGTTTCCTGGGAATGCTGCAAGAGTCAAGAGTGTTCTCTCTTCCAAGAGGCGATTCCACACACCAGGTATACATGGTCCTACATCTAGAGAAACACTTGTAACAAAGTGGGCTCATTGACTGACCGTACCTCAGGAACTATACACCCTTCAGTGTATGGGAATGCCTGGAAGCTCTAAACATGGGGCTTACATCAGTTTGGGCTCACTCATGAATTCTCAGGGTTTTTTGTTTGTTTGTTTTTTGTTAGTACTGGTAATTGAACCCAGAGCCTCACACATGCCAGGCAAGCACTCTACCACTAAAGTGCATCCCCAGCCCGGATCCTCAGTATTTTTGCACAATGCCTGGCATGTAACAGATGTTCAGGATGAAATTTATTTACCGATAAATTCCATTTATAGCTGATTAAGTACAGTCACCCTTAGGTATCTATGGGGGATTGGTTCCAGGACCAAATCTGTGGATGCTCAAGTTCCTTATATAAAAAGCTGTAGTATTTGTATATAACCTGTATAATCCTCCCATATACTTTATTATTATTATGTTATTTATTTATTTATTTTGATATTGGGGGTTTAACCCAGGAGTACTTTACCTCTGAGCCACATCCCCAGCTCATTTTATTTTTTATTTTCAGATAGAGTCCTGCTAAGTTGCTTAGGGCCTCGCTAAGTTGCTGAGGCTGGCTTTGAACTTGCAATCCTCTTGCCTCAGCTTCCTGAGTGGCTGAGATTACAGGCGTGTGCCACAGTGCCCAGCCTCCCATATACTTAAAATCATCTCTAGGGGTTACCTGTACTATGTAATACCTAGTAAATGGCATGTAAATACCATGTACAGTAGAGTGTTTCTACTCTATATTGTTTAGGTAATAATGACAAGAAAAAAGTTTGTACATGTTTGATACAGAGACAGACACAATTTTGCTTATTTATTTATTTATTTATTTATTTATTTTTGTGGTCCTGGGGATTGAACCCAGGACCTTATGCATGCAAGGCAAGCACTCCACCAACTGAACTATATCCCCAGCCCTCAAATATTTTTGAACTATGGTTGGTTGAAACTGTAGATGTAGAAACCACAGATATAGAGGCCAACTGTATAGTATTGTAGTCATCTCAATGTGCAGTTGGTCCTCAAATTTTTGGACAGCTGGGCACAGTGTCACACACCTGTAATCTGAGGCACTCTGAAGGCTGAGGCAGGAGGATGGCAAGTTCAAGAGGTCAACCTCAGCAACTTAACAAGACCCTGTCTCAACATAAAAATTTAAAAGGACTAGGTATGTAGTTCAGTGATAAAGCACTTGTGTAACATATACAAGACCCTTGATCCAATCCCCAGTACCAAAACAAACCAACCAACCTCTTGGACAACTTCTTAGTAGATTCAGTAGAAAAAAAGATTTGACTTGAGCAGTTCAACTCACTTTCAAATTTGAGAATTACCCATATTGAAGGGAAATAATTGTTAGCTGCTAGTTGTAGACAGGCATAACTTAAATGTTTCCTCCCATTTTTTTCCTTCTTTCACTTGTTTCTTCCCATGATATTTTGTGGACAAAATGTTGTTAGGGAGGATAAGGAAGTCATACAGAAAGATAGAGATTGGATTACATGAGACAGCTTTTTTGTCTCCTTCTGTTATTCCCCCCCCCCCCCCAGCGTGGGTCTTTTGAAGGCTAGGATGACTTCAGTCCATTATTTGCATGATCTTCCATTTAGAAAGCTCATGGACAGATTATGTCCTTACATGGTATAATTTTCTGCTTCGCTCTTGTAACATCTCGACTTAGGGGATTTTCTTTTTTCTCTTTGCAAATCAAAAGTTCAACACTGCCATCAAAGCATATGAGAAATAAAATGGACCAATGGCTTCATTTACTAGAGTAAGAACACAGCAGTTTTATCAGCCACAAAACAATTCACAGCCAACAGTATCATATGAGCTCACTGGTGTTTCAGTAAATGTATGCAGTCTGCAAATAACTTCATTACAGCGTTCATTAGAGCAGCGGGTCACCTAAAATATATAGCTCTCTCCAATGTCTCTCTGAGAATACTTTGGAGGTGATTTTACCTTAACATTCTTCTGCGGAGTTATTTCATTCCCAAAAGAAATTGGTTAAGATCGGTGTAACTCAAGAATAGGCAGAAAATTTCCAAGTGGAAGGTCGAATGTCTAAACACGGAGAAGGAAAGGCAAGGGCTGGGGGGTGCGATGGGTAGCTCTGGTAGAGTGCTTGCCTATCATGTGCAAGAACATGTACTGATCCCCAGCACCAGACAGAAGAAGAAGAAGAGGGGGAAAAAAAAAACTCAAGACAATGCCTTTCATATTAATGGAAAAAGAAAGTTCAGACTAGGACATCAGAGGCAGAGGCTGTGAGATCACCTTTCAAACATTGGTGTATCCTGTAATAGAGTTTGATGCTGGGCTTCAGAAGTTGTTGGGAAGCGCAGAGCCTTGGCCTGTCCTGCTGCCGCCTTCGTGTCGACTTGGATGCATAAGGCAGCGCTGGGTAAAGAAAAGAGGGCCAGGGTTCATTTCCCCGTGAAGTCCTCTCCGAAGTCCATAAAGGTTGCGGGGAGGGAATGGCCTCGTCTTGCAGGGAAGGAAATATGAATTGAACCCCTACTCCCTACCCTCTGGGGACTGATAACGGTGTCCCCGGTTCACCCCGGGGAGCCGGCACCCAGGCACGACGTGAAAACCTCCAGACTCTCCGACTGCTGCCACTTCCCGAGGGGCTGGGGGGCGCGCCTGTTGGAAGGTGGAAGGCGGAGTCGCTCCGCTTCTGGGAAGAGACCAAAGGAATGAGTAATTGGAAATTCTGTAACCTAGACCCTTATCCCAAACCCTTTGGCTCTTTCACCCCAGATCCCCTGCCGAGAGGCAAGGGGACGGGAGACGGGAGACGTGGTGAAGGAAGAGTCACGTTTCGGAGAGGGAAGTGAAATAAAGAGGGCGGCACCCGGGGGGACCTGTGCGTCATTGAGGGACCGAGGAGAAGAGCAGGGCGCGCGGGGCTGCAAAAGGAGAAGTGGGAGCGAGTAGCCGTAGGGGGCGGCCGCCGAGCGGGTGGGGGCGCGGCGAAGCGCCCGAGCCTCCGGCCTTTTCGGGCGGTGCCCCGGCAGCTGGCAACCTCGTGGCGCTAGTCGGGATCCGCCGCGCTCCGGACCCTGGCAGGCGGGGCGCGCCCGCCGCGCGCAGAATGTGGCAGCCGACCCGGTCCCGGCCCCGCGCGCTCTGGCGTTGGGTGCTGGCGATACTGACCCTTGGCGGCGCGGGACTGTGCCACGCCGGCCCGCAGTCCGGGTACCCCGCGCGGCCCAGCGCCAGGAACAAGTAAGTGCGCGCCTCTTCGCTCGTCCCAAACCCGAGAGCTCTGGGACCCCACCTATCCCTCCCCGGCCCATCGCCGGGTCCTGGAACTGGCTTGCCAAAGGCGACAAGCGACAGCTGGGAGTCCCTTATGGACTCCCCCGGGAGACTCATCTCGGTGGCCGTGCGCTCCACCGCAGGAGCCTCAAGCAGTGCTGACTCCAGAGACGCGGGACTCAGGGAGTGTCCTGCGGAGCAGCGTGATCTGGAAGGACTCCCAGAAATTCCAGGAGCCCCTGGGGGCGTGGGTGCCTTTCTTTCCCCGGCCTTTCGTGGGGTAAAGGGGCTGCTCTCCGAAGGCACCCTCGTTGCACCCTCTGGTGTCTACTGAGTTAATCTCCCGCCTCCGCAGGGGGTGACCGGTTCCCTGACCCTGGCTCCATCCGCTGCTGTTATCAGCTCATTCCCTTTTCCCGGGCCTCATTGTTCTCGGGGTGGACTCTACATCCTTCTCCCTCTCTCCCCTTCACCCCAGGAACTGGTGCGCTTACATCGTGAGCAAGAACGTGAGCTGCTCTGTACTGGAGGGAAGTGAGAGTTTTATCCAAGCTCAGTACAACTGTCCCTGGAGCCAGATGCCCTGTCCATCCGCGCTGGTGTAAGTCCTGGAGCCGAGCAGCGGGCGGGGCTCACCCGGGCCTGGGCCGTGGGGGTGGGGTGGGGTTGTGTAAAGTCTCTTACAGATCTAGTGAAAACCCAGCCGCTGACAAGTTTGAGCGCTGAGAGGGGCACCAGCTACTGAGTGAGCATTGAGGATGCGCAGGACTTGGGAGTTTGGGATTCCCCAGGACTTAGGAGAGGATGAACAAAACCCCCACCCCCACTTCTCCTTCTCTCTCTCTCTCTCTCTCTCTCTCTCTCTCTCTCTCTCTCTCTCTCTCTCTCTCTCTCTCTCTCAATTTTATTACTAACGTAAGGCAGCTGAACCTAATTAGATCCATATTGCGTGTTCTGGGGCACACAGAAGATTCTAAAATGTATACTGCTAACAACTTTTAGATGTAGGATTAACTGAGAGGTTTGGCTAGCTAGTCTCCTAAAACAAGCAAGTTTTGTCGAATTGTCCCCATAAAACGGATTTCTTCAGTATGGTACAACTCTAAATAAAAGCTTTAGGAATAATTTGCTTAAAAGTATGACTTTTCAAATTAGATTTGAGGATTTGCTAGGCGGTTGTCAGAAGAGAATGATACTTAAAGACCAGGGAAGAATTAATCATCGTTTCTCTTATAAAGATTTCACCATAAATAAAAAATAAAAGAAGAAGAAGAACAGGAAGTCATGCGATAAAGTATAAATTCCGTTAAACACATCACACTCATTCGATTGTCATCAGGCAAGTCTTTGAGTTTTTGTGTAAGTCAGATATCAGAAGATGGGCCGATGTGAATAAATGGCTGTTGGGGAAACACATGTGATAGCTTAAATTGTTTTCCACTAAGAATACGTTGTTTGTCTTAGAGCACAGTTGTCATCACAGCAAAGAATGGTCAGTAGGCAGATCTGCCTTGCAAATCTAAGGGACAGACTGAATTTGTACTCTAGGAAACCTCCTTCCAAGGGGCAGTAGATAGGATACTAGATAGCAGATATTCAGGGTGGAGCTGACACTGGATTTCACTTGGGTGACTGGGGGAGCTGCAAAGAGGGATGGGACAGTTCCTGTTGGGCAAAACAAACCCCCACAGGTGGTGGCCATTGGGAAACCTTAGAAGAGGCCTCTGATTTCTAACTCATAGAGGAAAAGGCTAAAATGGAGTTTCTGGCTATCACTTAGAGTGAAAAATAAGCTGTCAGAGAGATAGATACTGTCATCCCATTTTAATCTAACCAGTAAGATTTAGACCTCAGAGTCCAGGGTCAGCAGTCAGTGACATGAGAACCAAGTAAAATTTTTATGTTGTGGTAGAGAAGTGAACTAGGTCTTCAACACCTTTTGAATGATTTTGTTTGGAATTAGAATTGAATTTTTAGGGGAAAAAATTCTTCATTTCATAGAAGGACTGTATTTTGGGGTTTGTTAATATTTTTTAATACTGTGGCAACGCAGAAGTAAATGAATTTTTCATTTGGGGAATAATTATTTTTGTTTAAAAGATGACTTGTTTTTTCATTTTCTCAAATAATTTTAGCTGGGTGGAAAATCAAATGATTTTATTGTTGTATTTAACCAAAACTCAAAGAAACTTGGTCATCAGTGGGGAAGTGAATTGCCTCCAGATCTACAGGTTAATGAAAGGCAGTAGGAGTGTATTTTTGCCACCCAGTGAGAAGGACAACAGAATTGTTATTTTATTTATTTATTTTTGGTACTAGGGATTGAACTCGGGAGCACTCAACCACTGAGTCACAGCCCCAGCCCTATTTTGTATTTTATTTAGAGGCAGTCTCACTGAGTTGCTTAAGCACCTCACTGTTGCTGAGGCTGACTTTGATCCCGTGACCCTCTTGTCAGGTGCTGGGATTACAGTCGTGTACCACTGTGCATGCTAGAATTGTTATTTTTAAAATGGCAGTTGTTTCTGTTGTTTTGTTAAACCAAACCAAAATAAGTGACCTGGGTATTCTTCTTCAGTAAAAATCAGGTAAACAATTCAAGCATATTTTTACATCTTAAGTATTGCATTATAAATGTGAAAATTTTTAAATGCACAGAATATTTTCATTGATCAACTTGAAAATCCTTTTTTTTAACACAATGTCTTTATTAATTATTATTATTATTTAAAACATTTATGTTTAGTTGTAGTTGGACACAATACCTTTATGCTAGGCAAGCGCTCAACCACTGAGCTACATTCAACTTGAGAATCTTGAAGAAGCTTTGGTAGTTAATCCAATCTTGACCTTAGGGATAAGAAGGGTATGGTTTACCTTCTCTCTCTCTCTCTCTCTCTCACTGGAAATTGAAGCAGGGGAGCCTTACCACAGGGCTACATCTCCAGTCCTTTTTATTCTTTATTTTGACACAGGTCTCACTAAGTTGTCAAGGCTGATCACCAACTTGAGATCCCACCTAAACCTCCCAAATTGCTGAGGTTACAGGTGTGCACCAGTGTGCCTGGCTACCTTATTTTTCAGCAACTAAATGTTTCCTATATTTAAGGATTTAGTGGATGAATGAAAACATAAGGAGAAACATTCTTTTTTTCAGTTGTAAATGGACAACTGATACCTTTTTAATTTATTTATTTTTATGTGGTGCTGAGGATTGAACTCAGGGCTTCACATATTCGAGGCCAGCACTCTACCACTGAGCCACAACCCCAGCCCAGAGAAACATTCTTTTTATGCTTAAAGAGGATGAATGGTTGTATCGCATGTGATTTCTTTCTTTCTTTTTTCTTAATGTATATTTTTAGTTGTAGATGGACACAATGCCTTTATTTATTTGTTTTAATGTGGTGCTGAAGAATGAACCCAGTGCCTTGCACGTGCCAGGCAAGCGATCTGCCACTGAGCCCTAGCCCCAGCCCCGTGATTTCTTTATCCTTTCTGATCAGTTCCTAAGCCTGCCGGAACTCTTGAGTTCACTGGTATTGTGGACACAGCCTTTGCCTAGTGTTTCCCTTAGAACCAGAGACCTGCAGGAGTGAAGTTTCTTTGGAAATGCACTCTAGGGTGACCGAGGGGTAATTCTTGTCACTGTTAGAGGTACAGACTGAATGCTGGCTGAGATGGCTGGAGTGTTTCTGCATCAGGGATGGTAGGTTTGGCCCATGCAGAGCAGAACTGAGGGCTGGGGTGTAGCTCAGTGGTGGAGTGCCTGCCTAGCATGGGCTAGCCTGGGTTCAGTCCCCACTGCCAAAGGGAGAGACAGAGAGGGAGAGAGCAGAACTAATTCTTAGGGGCAGTGCAAGGGAAGAAAAGCCCGGGAAGGGGTCAGAGAGCAAAGCGAAGACATTGGAGGAGGAAATACTGTTGGAGACCCAGAAGGCTTGGAGGCTGAGACCTTCAGAAAGGCCTGGCAGGGGCAGGGTGGGGGTGGGGGTGCTGGCACTGACAGGAAGTAACTGCTCATGCAGAAACAGACAGCAAGTCAGTGGGGTAATCGTGTGAGTTAGGGGAGTTAGTTGGAAGGAAATCCATTTACCCAGGAATCTATATGGTATTTTGAAGACTGGTAGAAAAAGGGAGTTATGTGGTAGACAAGCTGGTAAAGAATTACTTAAAAATTGTACCCATTTGGGGGCAGAGTGAAGAAGCCAAATGAGAAAGACTGAATGACCTCCGAGACTGAGGGGAATTCCCTGGGGAACAAGGGGCTTGAGGGAGGGACTCAAATCAAAGGAGAACTGCTGCACCCAGCCATAGCATCGGGCGTGAGCAGCCTCCTTGTATGTAGAGACTGAGGGCACATGCATTTTCAGAAGGATTTATTTCTGAATATGAAGATGCTGTTTGTATATATGAAGAACCAGGGGCATTCTACCACTGAGTCAAACCCCCAACCCTTTTTTATTTTATTTTGAGACAGGGTCTTGCTAAGTTGCCCAGCCTGGCCTTCAACTTGAGGTCCTCCTGCCTTAAGCCTCCTGATTTGCTGGGATTACAGGTGTAATCTGTGCCTGACTGAAAGCAGGAGGTTTTTATATAATACTTGGGCATACCAAGAGCCTGCCAGGTGGAAAGCTCTGGGTTCAACCCCCAGCACCACGGAAAAACAAACAAAAACAGTTATACCCACTTTCATGGGAGGCAATTCCCATATAAGTGCAGAACAGTTTGTGTGCACGTGGCCTTAACCTCACTCTACTGTGGATCACTTTGCTATAATTCAAGGGACTTTGTCATGTGTCACATTGTCTACTATGTTATACAGTTTGTTTGCTTATTTTAATCACTGACACATCTAATGGTTTAGGCTGCTGGGTCAGTTGTTTAAAGCGTGACATTCATGAGACCAGAGTTGCTGAATATAACTGTAGGGGCCTGGGGGCCTGACCGCCTCAAGACAGCGCACTTTTACTCCAGAGCTCAGCTGCCACCACAGAATTTGTTACAAGGGGATGGTGTTCAGAGAGTATTTCCAGAAAAACAATTTAAAGCCCATTCCCTAATGAAGTGAGTTAGTGCTACTATTCTTGTGTGTAAAAATGATACATTTTTCTATGAAGATTTAGCATCACTTAAGAACTTAGAAGTAGGGCTCTCTCTCTCCCTCTCTCTCTCTCTCTCTCTCTCTCTCTGTCCCTCCTTCCTCCCTCTCATACATAAGCACTAGATGTAAGGAGAGTCCCTTCAACAGAAAATGATTTGTCTCCCCTTAGCTAATTCCTAAAGTGGTCCAATGGGATGGTAGTTATTTATCATTGAGTCTGAATTCTCAAAGGGGGCCTAAGAAAAAAAAATTTTTTTTTTTGCTGAGATAATTGTTTTACTTTCTACTTCCATATTAAGAAAGCCGAGTGTCGCTGAAATTTTCATTGCATTGAGGAATTTTTCTGATTGCTCATAAAGCCATTGGCAGTTTGGCCTGTTCTGTAGACTTGTGGCCACCCACGAAGCGCTTAGGAAATAGCCAGTCAATACCGTGGATCCAGACCTCTGAATGTGGAATCTTTGCATGGAAGCCTGGGGAGGTTCCCTCTTGGCCCT